GTATGTAGCCCTTTAAACGTAGAGAATTGATTTTTATTCGTGTCATTATTTAAACATCGATATCAATAATGTCAATAAAATTTTTCAACTTACGTCGCTCGCATCGCCAATTGCTGATCGTTCGGACATCTCCATCTGTCACCTCGTATAAATCTCCGTAACGCACGAGCCAAAATTGGATCGTTCATTCCGACGGGAAACATTATTCTATTTGTAGCCTTTTGTTTCGCGCGGTACCCGTCCGTCTACAACAATAAATATTTGCAATTTATAAAAACGTATGTAAATTTGTACGTGTCTCACATTACGAATTTTTAAGAATGCCATTTGGCCTTAGCACTTCTCCAGCGTATTTTCAAAAATATGTAAATGCCGTTTTTTGCGATTTAACTGCGGAAAAAATTGTAACGATGTACATGGATGATTTGATAGTACCTTCGATTGATGTACAAGAGGGATTATCATGACTTAAGCTGATATTAAAGACGGCGGCTAGATACGGGTTATCATTTAATTGGAAATAATGCCAGTTATTAAAGTCGAAAGTGCATTATTTAGGATACGTAGTAGAAAACGGAAAGATCACGCCTTCTGAAGAAAAGACTGACGCCGTGAAACATTTTCCAAAGCCGACTAGTGTGCGCGCCGTACAAAGTTTCTTAGGCCTTACAGGCTACTTTCGTAAGTTTGTGCCGCAATATTCCCTAATAGCGCGTCCACTAACAGATCTGTTAAAAGATGAAAGAAAATTTGATTTCGGTAAGGCACAAAAACATGCATTCGATCAGTTGAAACTGGCTCTTAGTAATAGACCTATTTTACGTTTGTACTGTCCGGCGGCGGAGACAGAATTACACACCGACGCATCCGCCTTTGGATTCGATGCAATATTATTACAGCGCGATAGCGAGGATCGTTTATTTCACCCGATATATTATGCAAGTGGTAAGACTACGCCGACTGAAGCGAAATACAATAGTTATAGACTAGAAGTGTTAGCCATCATAAAAGCACTAAAGAAGTTTAGGGTATATTTAATCGGAATCTCGTTTACTATAGTAACCGACTGTAAGGCGTTTATGCAGACTATGAAGAAAAAGGATATTTGTCCGCAAGTAGCAAGATGGGCGCTTTACCTCGAAAAAT